AATTAAGTATGACAACTTTATTCTGACTTTTTACTGCCTGGGTATTACGTGAGTGCTGTGGTGGATACAGTCTTAATTGGAAGCAATTAAAACTACAGTTGAATCTCAATTGAACGGTCTCATAACCTTTGGCAAAGTTAAAGAACCAAAATACTCTTCTCGCGTGTGATGTCATCACTCAGTTAGGACATCAGAGAAGTCATCACATTGCAGTTGCTCAAGGGCTTGACAGGGTCCAAAAACAGACCAGGTGGATCAGCGGATCCCAAAAATGTAGACTCAAATGAATGGCAATACAAAAATATTGATGTCAAGAAAAGCAAAAGACCAAAAAAGTATAAACAGAAATCGCCAGCGACAAAAAGCGCTTGCAAACGGCAAGGTAAAGTTGGTTACGGAAAATCCACAAAATACAAAATGACAATAGGGGTGTTCACACGGCAAGATTTGCTCCAGTGCTACACCGGCGCTGCGCCAGTAGAGCGTTCACACGTGCAAATTTGCTCCGGCGTAGCCCCGGAAAACAGCTTACATCGGAGCAAATTTGATCCACCTCAGGGAGGTGGTTTAAAAATTTGCTCCAGAGCAAATGCTCGTTTGCGGGGCACCACCGATGTAAAATGGTACGTGTGAATGCTACAATTTGCTCCGGAGCAAATGCTCGTTTACGAGGGGGGAGTAGCCGCGCTACTCATGAGAAGAGTTGATTACATACGGCGAGAATGCCTTGCTTTCGTGCTCTGTCGGACTTCCATCATGTGTTTGTTTAATAACAAGACACAAGATATGGCTAGTAACAGTAGCAAGCACCTCTTGGGTTATACCAGTCCCCAAACGTCATCTTTCCTTTTGTAGGAGACTGGACTGTCTCGGAGTTGTTTGTGTAGTTTGTTCCTTTGTTGTGTGTTCACAACCCCCCGTGCCCCATAGAATTTATTTTGTGATTTCCTCTCTTGATTTTTCTGTTTGGCGCATTCCATTTTTGCTTTTCTGAGTGTCATTGAAGTCATCGTTGATTTACGTTTTCGGGGGCGGTCACTCTCGAGCAGAAGGCACGGAGACTGAGAAGGAGAAGGACGTGCCTGTACAGTAGTTGCTTGAGTTGTGTATACGTTTTGCAAAGAACCAACACGACAGCTCATTTGTTTTCTGTCGTTTTGCTCCGCAGCAGAAACTGGCGTGTGAATGCAAGTGGAGCTGCAACGACGCTGCGCCGGTGCTAATACGCTCAGGGGCTTTGTACGTGTCAACGCTCCACAAAATTTGCTCCGGTGTAAAATATATCACAACAAAATAAATTGGTGCAGCGCCGGAGCAAATGTGTGCCGTGTGAACACCCCTAATAGTCCAAACACATGACAGTAAAACTAGTCAAAAATGACTTTATAATAAAGATACTTGCAAAACCAAAATCTATCAAGAAAAAGCAACTATGAGGTCTAGAAAATAGCACTTGGGCATGAACAGGGTCAATAATCCGACACAAACTGAAGACTTGTCAGCCCTTAAATACCCAGGAGCTTGATTGGGAGACGAGATACAGTTACGCACCACTGAAATACCCAGGAGCTTGATTGGGAGACGAGATACAGGTGCACCACTTACGGGTCACACCCAACACTCCAACTGGTGCTGAAAACAAAACAAAAACAAAGAAGAGCAGAAAATGACAGGGCTCAAGTCATTACCACTCCTGGCCGGCTCACCTGTTTTCTGAGTTTGGACGCGAGACCTTTGCAAACTGAGCCCTGATTGGTCCTCACCTGAGCCCTGAGCAACTGCGATGTCACTTTCGGTTGACAGCAAGTGGCAAAATGCCACCCCCCCCTCACCGAGATGGATGAACACAGCTTGATTTTGTTGAATAATTCACATTCCGCAACCAGAATACCGTGTTTAGACTACTTGGGCTGAATAGAATATAATGTAAGGAAAATATGGGCCTTCAAAACACGTATACTACAGTACACTTTATAAAACCTGTTTACTTCTTTGCATTCCCTTTTTATTATGTTAACATTTTTTAATTGGATAATGTGCTATTTTGCTTCATGTAACAAAAGTAATGGTGGAGTTTTTTTGGGGGGGAGGGAGGGTGCTGCAATGGATTAATTGCATTCCAATTCATTTTGATTAGGAAAATTGATTTCAGTAAATTGAGTCATGACCTGTATACCTCAATAGATGTTCTACCTACCGATTTGCTGCTCTTGACATGAAAGTTTTGTTGGATTCATTTAGTTTCCCAACTTGCTGCAGGTGCCATTTATTCAACTTGTCCCTCGGTATCCGAATAAACGTATCCATTTCAAGATCGCAAACAGAAAGTCAAGGGGCCCTTTTTGTCTGCACGCTTTTTCCCGGCCCTTGATGCACACAGTGAAACACTTGAAACAACGGCAGGCTCCTTTCACTACTTCATGACTGTCTGTTTTTCAAGGGAAGAAAGCTTGAAGCACTGGGAAGTCAACTGGTTGTCATCTCGGTGAGAGCAACAGAAAAAAAAATCTGATGAAATCGCTGATTTCCATCCCTTCATGTCTTCCCTGTTAGACAGCTTCATGACCGACTCACTCCCACTTTCCTCCTGCCAAAAGTGACTAAAACCTTGACTGAATAAAACTTAATTCACCTTCGATCCCTTTGGTTCCCCTAAACACCGTATTATTTTTTGATTTTTGTGTGCATGGCGTTTATTTTGTGTTTGTTTTAACAAAAAGGAGCCACATGTTGTTGGTCTGACTAATATTCCATCCACCCTGTTTTGTTCCCTCACCAAACATCAGCAGTGCATGGACCATTTTCTTGATACGACAGTTGTCACAAAAAAAAAAAATGCAACCCGTCCATTACTCACTCATGTTTTCCTTCATGCCATAAAATGTTCTTATTTCCTCCAATTTAATACATTAGACTTCATGTCTACATTGCAGTGACTCAATGAACAGCTGCGTCAAAACAAAATGTCGAAGTAATGGCCAGTCAAAGAGTTTTGGACATGCTGCGTTTTACACTTAAGAATATGTGGTCAGTTATAAGTGCTTTTATTAATGTGTGTTATTTACATTGAGATTGATACTTTGTATGATGAAGGCAAACTGTGAATTGTTGTCTTATCTGAACAACATGTTGATCTTTTTTTTTGTGTTTGTTTCTTTGTTTTTTTACACACTGATAATATGGTAGAATTATTATAAATCAATTTAATTTCAATATATTGGTTCTTTTGTAGTTTGCAGTGTTTTACGACTACACTGCATCATACCCAGCAGTGATTCCGACCTTGTTTATACTGTTCCTCATTAAATAAACAGTACATGTCCAATAAATGCCGCCTCTTTTACACCCTTTTTTGTTTTGTATTGATTCATCTCGTGTTTCTTCTGTCCTCATGCAGACATACAGAAGACATGATTGTCACACCGTTTGCACAGGTGAGGCCTGAAGATGAAAAGACATGGCATTGGGATTACCCAGGGAGCACAAGACAAAAAAAAACAAAATGGGCTCCATGTGCACAGCCAAATTTCTCTGAGCTGAGTGCTGACCCAGGGCTACAGATTCGATCAAAACAGCACAGAGGTCGTGCTCACTGAATAAATTGAAAAACAAATGTTATGCCGAGATGGAGTGAGTCGCTGATGGCGTAGTGGTATACTCGCTTGACTTGTGTGCAGGCAGCGTGGGATCCGTTCCCACTCAGTGTGGATGTGGATGTGAATGGTGGTTTGTCTATGTATGTGCCCTGCAACTGGCTGGCGACCAGTTCAGGGTGTAGCCTGCTTTCCGCCTGAAGTCACCTTGAAGAGGCTCCAGCGATTCACCGTGACCCTCTTCGGGATAAGTGGTGTTGAGAACGGATGGACAGATGGATGCTGAGATGGATTGACGATGTGCTCATTCATTTCGCAGGTCCTCGCCAGCCTGAGGACAGTCCGGAGTAACTTTGCTGTCATAGCTGGCCAGCAAGATCGGCCAGCCAGCAAGTAAGCCTTTTTGGGGAAAAGTCTCTACTGTCTGCACTGCAGACGTGCAAGCGACTGCAAAATACAATCACGTTGTCGTGAAATAAATGGAAGTCAATCTGTCTCCGTAGGACCCGATCTTCTGGCAGCAACCCGCCATCCATGTGCAATACCAGTCTGGCAGGTCAGTGCCCGCATTCCGTTGGCTAGTGGCTGTATCTAGTTCCAGTATCTCAGTCAAGTAGTACTACGTCAAACTATTTCATTGACTCCAATTCCTACGAAGACGGGGCCAGGCATCACAGTGCATGAATGCTTTCAGGGAGTTGAGTCTGTCCCATAATAACCTCACTATGTTGTCCTGGAGCAGAGGAGCCTCACCAGCAGTTAGCCATAGAGACTCTGGATGAGTTGGATTGGTGTCTGGAGCAGCTGGAGACCCTGAAAACCCGGCACTCTGTCAGCGAAATGGCCTCGAACAAGGTAAGTGTGCTACCAACGCATCACATGTCAGTGCTAACATTTTGGTAACAGCACGGGGATCCATTTCCGCTCCATCACTATACGACAGTCTCCTGCAAAAGTAGTGGAATGGTAAGGTCAATTCATTTGATTTTGTTGGACATGGACCTATCAACCACTTCAAGTTTTATCCCGTTGATGCCGAAACATGCAACAGCACATACCATTGTTGTGCCATTCCCCTTACGCCAATAAAGTGTGAAAGTTTATTTTTTAAGATGTTACAGTGGTGCCCCGCCCACGGATTGCACTTTTCGCGGACTCACTACATGGCAGATTTTTTTTCAAGCGCAATTTTTTACGGCTTGCAATCCACATTGTGTCCTCTTTGACTTCCCGTATTCTTGACAGCGTAATTGTGCATGCTGTTTTTTACAGCAAAATGTGAGAAAGTCTGAATAGTGAAGTTTACGGCCTTAAAACTTCTAGCATTAATTTTTTTTTTTTTTTTTAAATCCTACTTTTCGGATTTCACCAATCGTGGGTTGTTTTTGGAACAACCCCCCGTCCCATCGCCACGATAAACAAGGGAGTACCGTATTTGATGTTCCCCTTTGTGCATCGCTACAGTGGCCAAAGTCGAGTGATCAAAGTGTTTCACAAAGTCCAGTAATGGCATGCGATGTTTGTTCACTGTTAACTATACAAAGCCATAAGAGCATCCATCGCTGTCCCATGGAAGGAGGAAGAGGTTTCCTCCATGAATGAGCAGGAGGCTTTCGTGCCTGCAACTAGAGGCAAGACGCACACCCTTCCCCCCACTCGTGCAGAAAAATGTGAATGAGGATGAAACAGCATCCCCTCCATCCAACCCCCTCACATCCCTCTCCTCTCCTTCCCCGCCTCCCCATACACTTCCCTCTTTCCCGGGACCCAAGCCCAACATTGGCGTGATTCCTACGATTGGACCGCCCAATCGTTGCAACACGTACACACACGTCACCACGTACGGTATATTGTCTGCCCGTACATACGTCATGCCAACTACTGCACTGCACACGCTCACGCGGCAGCATCATGGGTTCCGCGCTCACTCAATGAGCAGCATCAGTCAATGGGTGAGAATGATCAACGCTGACACTTGAGGAGAAGGGCGGCGGGCACGCGCTCAGCCGAATGAGCGTTGTTTCCGCATCACTGACAACTTTATCAAACAATTTCAGTCAAGAAAAAAGGATGTGTGGATAGGGTGCAAGTGAGCCCTCCAAGTGCTTTGTGGACACCTCGCTTCCTGTGACAATTGTCTTTTACCACATGCAGTACAATTGAATGTGCTGTCTCCAGTTGTCGTGGTTAATTTACTGCATCATGAAAGCATGTCCAGTATGTATACATACAAACCATATGTACATATGTACTATGTGTATATACAGTGTGTGTGTGGGTGTGTGGGTGTCCTCACATTATTGTGGTACGTGATGTACTATTTTTATTTTTGGCTTCATGAATGAACACCCCTCCCCCCCAACCACCATCATCACCACTGTTCTCTTTCAACATTTTTCTCCATATCATCTTCAAACTTGGAGCACATGGTGCATTTCCCAACCTCCAGCACCAACATGCTGGGCCCCTCCCACTTTGTGTTGCTTTCGACCAATGAGAGCGCTGCGGCTCTCTTGGGCTCTGCTGCAGCACTGGCATGATTGGCTGCTATTCTTAGACCATTTTTTGGAGGGAGGCGTGGATGAGAGTAACTCCTGCCTGTGTTTACACACACACACGCACACACGCAAGAGCAGGCAGTAATGGATTGAATGAAGGAGAGTTGGGAAGGAAGACGTATGATGACAGCATTCCCACGGTGCTTCCAGCTCTCGCTTTCTCGGACGGCCGCTTGTATTGATCAAGGCTTTCCCCGGGGCTCGCGGTGGCTTCCTCCCAGGGACATGGTGAAGAAGCACAGGGCAGTGACGGACAATGACCGCAAAGCTCGGCTCTCCCACCTCAATTTAATTCTTGTTCCCATGCTTGATTTTGCGCTGAAATGCCAGAAGTGAATCCTTTCGTCTCGGAGTCGAGGATTTTCATTCAGGTAAGAGAGGACTGGACTGATGAATAAGCTTTGAGGATGCTGAGGGGAACCGCACAAGCGGCTCACCTCTTGTTGCTCTTGTGAATCAGGAAGAGCTGATGTTAAGGAATGTCAAGGGGGGATACTTTGCATTAGATTCATCAATTCTCTTCGGTTCGCCTCGTATTTCATGGCAATACCGCATACACGGGCTCATCTTTATACCAAAAGTGATGGTTGTGGCAAGAATGATGTGCTGTTTTGTGCGCATGTGTTTGTTCAGTGTTGCTATAGACATTGAATTAACTGACTGCTTACGCTTGACTCTCAGCTGTGTTTGACAGTTTGGTTGTTTACATCTGCGTCGGCTATGGAGAGGCGTAGTTGAAAGCAAAAGAATCATCATTTACTTATAAAAATCAAACTGCCCCCCAATATTACAAAATAGCACCAAAAGTCTACTGTGTGGCAGTCGAAAGGAGCACACACGATTGCCTGTAGAACACGTCTTTATTCCAAGACTGCCAACAAGTAGATCTGAACAGTTACAACTTGTGCCACAATCCTTGACATAACCACGCCCCCTACTACATGCCTGCTGGGTGAGAAGCATGGTCCTAATGTCCGCCACACAGCCCCCCCCTGAACACCCAGAAAGGCAATCAAAATGACAACTTCACCGGTGGTCTTATTAGCCTGCCACAACGACTACGCAGTCCGTCTTCTGGTGGCGCAGGCGAAACTAGTCGGGCAGGAGGCACAGGTGAGACACGAGTGGGAGAACGACACTCAACACCGACACGCTGAAGGGAGGCTGGGGGCTTCGGAGGACGACCAAGGCGAGGGACCTGGGTAGCACATCACCCGCAACCAAATGAGCTGGTTTGAGCCTATCTAAGGAAACACACTCCCTTCGCCCACCCATATCGATCCCAAAATTCTTATCACCGTGCTCAAGCACCCGGAATGGGCCGTCATACGGTGGCTGGAGGGGCGAGCGGTGGGCATCATGGCGCAAAAAAACAAACCGGGCCGACATAAGCGCAGACGGTACGAACACTTTAGGAACAAAATAGTGAACCGGTGTTGGAGTTAGGGGTCCCTCCGACAAAAAGGGGAAGGAAGGCGCGCCGGAACCTTCTGGCAGAAATTGACCGGGAAGGCCCGACATAAGCGCAGACGGTACGAACACTTTAGGAACAAAATAGTGAACCGGTGTTGGAGTTAGGGGTCCCTCCGACAAAAAGGGGAAGGAAGGCGCGCCGGAACCTTCTGGCAGAAATTGACCGGGAAGACGAAGCGGCTGACCGAGCACCAACTCAGCAGGGGCGGCATTAAGATCCTCTTTCGGAGCCGAACGTAACCCAAGCAAAACCCACGGAAGGCGGTCGACCCAGTTACCGTCCGAAAGCGCAGCCCGCAGCGCAGCTTTTAACGACCGGTGAAAACGCTCACACAACCCGTTAGCCTGTGGGTGGTAGGCCGTAGTGCGGTGTACCTGCACACCCA